ATTGTGTAGGGGAGGGGAGCGTGGTTTGTCACCACAGGAAGCCCGCGAATGACAACAATTGTTTGATATGGTTACGAATAATAATAAATGTCTTCATTAGAAATTACCACAAAAACAAACGTTTGAGTTTATATTGAAAATTTTAAATAGTGAACTTAACTAAATGAAATTGTACAGGCATCTATTCATAAAACAGCGTTTAATACGCTCACTTCTAAATACTGGGATACCTGTGATATCTCAGTCATAAAATGTCTTCTTTTTTTTTTTTTCTGTCTTCTCCACGACAAAATGGGAAAGTTGCGCAATAGTACCCAGGGGTCTTCGGGAACTTACCCAAGAGACCTTTGCGGGCATCTGCTGTCCAATTAATTATCATGTACCAGATGTCAATCAATATCACTATGTTGTCAAGTGATTATGAGTGGGCGGAGCTAGCAGATCACGTGGCAGAGGTTTATTTCTATGCATGCTCTATTTCGTTGACCGCCGTAATTCAAGACAGCCGAACTAGAAATATTAATTTATCAATTTCTTAAATAAGGATTTCAAGGCAAGAAGATACCGATGGTGTCGAAGTGATTATTTCTAAGAATTTTCAATGAACTTCATGAGCAATAGCTTGTTTTGGTTTACTCTTCATGATTAATCTACTCGAGCAATATTTTCTGCACGAACGAGTGAAGATCGATAAGGAGAAAAAGGTTCAAAAATCAGAATTTATACGATAAACGATACTGCAAATTCATTCAGCATTACAATATAGATATTCTTATAGCTTACATTTATGTATTTATATTAACTGTTTTGGCTTTAAAGTCTACTCACAAAGGAACATGAGGTACATAGCAATATTTATTTTAAGATTCTATTTGATTTAAGAAGCAAARTAAATAATTTGCTAAGCACATTCCAGAGTTTGATCTTTGCCGTTCGAAGCGTTATGGTCTCCTTTAATTTTTCTTCAAAAAAATGGTGATTCATTAAAAAATATCGATAAATTATGAACAACATTAAACCTGATGAACTGAGAATTGAAATAATTACTTTAAAGGGGTCATACAAGGCCTGTTTTCACATTGAATTTATCAACATAATTCCATAACTCGACCAGTCTTTGGTTTGCATCTTCCATATRAAAATAAGAACCTAATTAGCCTAAAATTTCACTAAGCACCCGCTCTATAAGAAACGGTTTAGGCTACTTTAAAGGAACTTTGAGGAGCTATTATGTTCAATGAAATGAGGAGGAAGGAGCGTGACGAACCGAATGACATATCATGCAGGTATCGCTGAAAATATTACACAGGGAACCCAATTCAAAGACAAAAAAATGTGCAAGAAAAATCTAGAAACAGTATATTGATAATTATTATTACAAATGTAGTCTATATAGTTTTAAAAAACAACAATCAAGGCGAATAAAAAACGGAGTAAATACGTTGTGAATTCCTATTAATACTGATCTYCCTATTCTTTTACAATATCCTCGTGCCCGTGTGAATAGTGTTTTCGCATTATTATTTTTGAATCGATTTTTAAAGGTAATCGGCATGTTCTCCAACCGTTTCTTGGCAAATTTAGTTTTTTTTTCTAGACTACTGTTTGTTGCATAACGATCTAAAAGCAGGACTTCAACTATTCATCTGGTCATGATATTACAAGAGTTGACTTTTTTATATGTATCTATTCTATTTGAACCAAACATAGAACGCGAGATAATTGTTCATCTGATCAGAATGATCATACGACAATCAGAATGATTGGTGTTGGTGTTGGTATAAACACAGGGAGCCCGGCTTTAGAATTTGTACATGAATAAAAAAAATCAATAAGTGCTTTATTGGGTTTCCTGTGTTGAGATTTGAAACAAGACGCTGATACGTTGAATTTCCGGTAATCGTACTAACCAGTAACTTGATAGCAGATTAACGTAACGTATAGTAACGCACGTCCTAGGAAATTGTACTAGAGAGTACGTTACACTAATACGTTAAATTTGAATCATAAGCTGCTGCTCTCAAGTTACTTACGTTAATCTGCTATCACGTTACGTTAATCTGTTATCACGTTACCGATAGTACGATTACAGGAAATTCAACGTATCAGCGTCTTGTTTCAAAACTCAACACAGGAAACCCAATAAAGCACTTATTGATTTATTTATTCATGTACAAATACTAAAGCCGGGCTCCCTGTGGTATAAACCCCTCTTGTTCCTTTCTTCCATCTGACTCTAGCTACAAGTATTTGTCAGCAAGCGCATTKGCACCACACTTCACCAGTACATCATACAGCTCTCCTATTGTTAATTCTCTAGTACTGCATACTTCTTCCAGTAATTCTTCCACTGGGTTTTTCWGCCTGTCATAGTAATTTAAGTGCTCCCTTGGTATGTTGAATTCATCGGCTAATCTCTGCCAACGATTCTTATCTATAGAAAAAAATAATTAATAATAATTAACAAATAAAACAGCTTTTAAGAACGAGCCTTAGGCGAGTGCTTCTCACACTTCTTGAGTGCGTACGGCGCTTTCTAAGTGCTTGATTACWGAGCGGAGCACGGAAAAAGTTGTTTTAATCGTKTTATTATATAGTTACTAATTTTATTTCGKTATTGAATTTATWTACGCAAAAAGAAAGAAGGTCGCAGGATCTAGTAGAACCTCGCGCTCTCGGATGGTGTCAGCACTGTGCTCCGTTCACTAATAAAGCACAGTTTTCGACCAATCAGCGCGCGCGTACTATCCTAACTCTAAAATAAACTATGATAAAAGATAGAGAAGCATCAAACAGTATTTGAAGCTACGAACACCAGAATATATAGGGTTAATTACCATACAAAAGTTGGTCTGAATAGGGAAAACTGCATGTGCTCGAGGTCTCAAACATATGGACCGAGGCGGTTACGCCAAGGCCCGTTTTCTTTTGTCTCGTTTTCCTTTTTCATATTTACTTTCCATCTCGTTTTGCAATTTTGTT